TTTCCAACTCTACTGGTTAAGGGTTTCAATTCTGAGAAAGACAAAATTTGAAGATTGAATTTATCCCTCCTTGCAGTTAGCACAACTAATTTGGAGCGAACCTCTGACTTGTGAACAACGTGGCGGCGTGGTGTTCCTGTGTAATCATACCACCATGGACGATAGGTGCAGAAGTACTGTCTGATGCGAACAATTCTTAAGGCTGCACTGCGCCTTGACCCGCCTGAGAGCTGCTTTATTTGGTAGTGATGTGATAATTTGAAGAAAGTTGAGGCTTTTTCCTGTTGCATTATGAAAGTTTCAGTGGACCTTTATTGAAACCTCCTAAACCTGCTTTTCAGGGATAAAACCATTAAGTCTGAGTACGATGTACTTTTTATCGGGTATCATTTGATAACGCGAAATAGTGGCTAGATTATCTTCTGATCATGTGTTGATTCTAGACCTCTTATCGCGACTATAAACTAATAAGGCTGAATACCTAGAAACTGGGCTACTGTTCAAGTTATTTAGCCACTAACCACTAACTGCTGTGAACTTCAAAGCGTGTTTATCACTAAAATCCGTAATCAATAGGCATGTATGACGTAAATGCTTTCGTTTGATGGCGCATTCAATATTTTATTTGGAATCGGTATTTCGTTTTTGGTTCGTACCTTCTTGATGGAGTCAGAGGGCCTAGAAGATCTTGCTAGTTGGAACACTAAGTCTTGCTCCTTATACTTCAACTCATGCTCAATCACCGGAGAGTTGGTGCCAAGCAGTGAGCATTGTGCTACCGACCAAGAATATCTCACTGTCTGGCCAGTCAGTAACAATCTACTGTTTTGTGCTTCGGACGGGTTTAAAAATGCCGCATTCAATCCTTTGCCACAATTTAACTTTCTTTAACCTTAGTTCTGTCCTTTGCCTTCTTTTGTTTGTACTTTGTAGCCCATCAAGTTTATACAAAATCTTATTGGTAGACCGCTTTTTGTTAAGGCAGCAACAGGCACTATCGCAAAGTCCTGAAAAGGGAGTCTATGATGTACTGCAGCATTGGAAACGCGTCTGCAGTTGTTGATACCCCTACCGAAAGAAATACTTCTTTATCTTCCATATCCACTTCTCCTTTCGGGTCGCGGAAGCAGACAGTGCTTCCAACGTTCCCCAAACCTTTACCAGAGTCTGAGCTTCCGCATATGACAACTGGAGTCTTGAGCAGACTCCTTCCATTTATTTGCAGCAAGCTCCATTCCCTTGGCCTTCGGGTGAGCAAGAAACAATTGCTTAACCTTCCTTTCTGGAGGCATTCGCAACACATGCCCAAGCCATCAGAGCTGTGACTTCTCGGTCTGGAGAAGCAAAGCCTGTGCACCAGTGCTCTCATGTATTTGTGTACTTGCCAGGCCAGCGACTCGTCTCTGAAAGCCCATTTCAGCCGCTTGTACCCAGGATTAAAGTTTTTCAATCATGACCCTAAGCATGGGAATGAAGATCAACTAGAACACCGAGAGCTTAGTCTTCAGACTCAGCTCTCCTTTAGTCACGGTGGATTGGGTCAGTTCACGTAGAAAGCCACTGGCTACTCCAGTCCGCCTGTAGACTTCTTCCTCAAATTTTCCATCACTAGTAAATACGATTCCGAGGTAATTTAACTTCTGCACCTGCTACACTGCCTCTTCATTGATCTGAAGATAGCAGCAAGCAGGACAACGAGAAAGCAATGGGCTTTTAGTTTTAGATGCGTTCACACACATGCCGGCCACGTCGCGCTCGGCTGCGAAGCTTACCACAGTAATGGATGTCACATTCATAGGATGCCAAGAGAACAAGGTCGTCTGCAAACAGCAACCTTCTCGTCTTGACATTTCTCTGGTTGCGCTTGACTATTCTATCCATGTACAACGCAAGCAGGAGAGGGGAGAGAACGCAGCCTTGGCGGAGATCAGT